AGGATTTTGCTTTTGTAACAAAATGTTATTGCAGATAGTGGATTTTTTAAAATGAGAATATAATACCATAAAAGCAAAATTTTAAGTTTGGCATTATTGTCATGGCTGAAGGATAAATAAGAGCTCACGTTACCATCAAAAACTCATTTTCATCAAAATTGTAGATAGAGGGATAGAGATATAAGCCCTCGATATACAAAACTCAATTTTTTCAGTATATTTTTGATTTACCCGAAAGAGCAAACACTTTAATTATTTATTGAATACGATTTTATTCATTCGGATGGCTTCGTTTTCCATGCCTCGGTAGCGCTCACCGTTGACCGAAATGCCATTTCTAGCAGCATTTTTTAAAGAAAAATTAGTGCCGGTGGCATCACTCCAAAATCCTGACCAAACTGTTACTCTCGGAGGATGCATTAGCTTTTCGGCGATGCGTGCGGGTTTTCCGATCCCCATATGCGAAAGTTATGCTTGTGAATGGTGCCGAAGCATAGAAAACGAAAACATCCGATGAGGCAGCCCTTGGAGTGTTCGAGAGAGGTATTCTTCGGAGGATTTACGGGATTCTGCGCGTTTGCGACAGTAACTAAGCATTGCAATGATATTGAAATACTCAGCGCAAAAAAAAAATACAGCGACTGAAAATTTTCAACGCAGATTCTGCCGGGCGTAGCAGAGAAAGGGGAAGGCGATGGAAAGACCAAGCGGAGAAGGGCTTCACTTGGCATTTCCAATTGGCGTCAGTTCACAGAGAAGGGAAACGACTGGCGTGCATTAGTTATTAGACACGGACAAAACTCCTTGGGCAGAAAAGAAGGCTCTTACTTTCGTCCGACTTTTTGTATAAAATCAAGTTATTACTTAAAAAAGAAAGTTGCCATAAAATGTCACGACGTTCTACGAATATGAATTGTGTTTATTTAAATTTATTGCATAAAATTTACGAATTTAGTTTTTTGTAATTTTTCCGCTTACTTACAATTTTATTGAACTAGAGACATTTTTTGATGAAAATGTTTGTAAAAAAAAAACAACAATAGTTTACATACAGGTCATTCCATGCAAAGTTTTCATCTCAAATTTTTTTTTGTGAAAGACACCAATTTTTTTGTTCCATCATGATATTCGAAAATCTCAAAAAAAAAAATCTTCGAAATTTCTAACTCACACAGAAGTATCTTTTTTAATAAACTATTTGTCGGCGAAAATCTCCCTAATAAACAATCGTGGTACAAAGCTCAACAAAAATATTAGAAAAAAAAAGAAAATCAGTTCAGTTATTAAAATGTGCATAATTACCTCGGCTTTCCATTACAGTCAGAGATAGATTTAAATAAATAATTTTTTCCATTTGAAAACTGCATTTGTTTAATATGTATATTTTTTATTATATACACTGTTTAATTTCTGTTGTCTAAATAGTTGCCAAACTTTATGGAGTACATCGTAAAAATGTAAGAATGGAGAAACCAACACTGTAGAAGATCCGAATTTGTTCATGCCTGCTAGCTTCACTTGACTAGTCTGAAAAATTTCGAAACTTCCATAATTTCGATTTTTCCATTCTCAAAATTTTTACAGTGTACTCCATGAAGTTATACGGTGTATAATTAATAAAAAAAAAAAA